CCTCGTTATCCAATCGATCTATCCACTTCAGACATACAAAAAATGCGTGCGTAATAATAATAAAATGCGGCAACAACAACAATAATAAAAAAGCGGCAATAATAATAATAATAATAAAAAAATAAAAAATGCGGCAATAACATCCACAAAGCTAAACTATCTCCAACTGTTTTTTTTTTTTCTTTTTTTTTAACCCTTTCCCTCTCCATCGACAGGTGACGTCTGGAACATCCACAAAGACACCTTAACAGACAAGGACACCTTCCACCGGGCTCAGAAAATTGACTTCAAGGACGTCGACCTCACCAGCAGTCCAGATGGCAGATATTCCTCCCTGGCAGACCTCTATCTGGGCTACAGTGTTGCCAGCATCACGTATGCCAGTAAGCCCGCCGTTGTGTCTGCCATGCCGCGGGCTGTGTCAACGCATGACTTGAAGGTGGTGGAGAAGGTGAGGCTTTTTTGGGTTGACTTGTGGCTTTGATGCAGATTTTTGTTTCTTGGGAATGGGGGAAAAATCGGTTTGTTTAATTTCCTACGGAGAATTTTTTTTTTTTTTTTTTTAGATTTTTTTTTCTTTTGCTGGTGATTATTATATTTCGTGTGTTCTACATATGTGTCACGTATCTAATAAAATAATAATGAAATAGTAATAAAAGTCGTAAATTCATCAATTTCGTCGATTATTCCTGCTTGATTTCTTTAGTAGATATTGATAGGAATCTTTTGATCCTTGAGGGATTTGAAGATGCAGACTGGTTAAAAAAATATATACTCATTATTTCTCTTACTGCAGTTTTATGGATAACAATTATAGTAGTAGTAGTAGTAATAATAATAATGTTTTTATTAGTAGTAGCATTGGTATTATTATTTTTTAAAATGATAAAAAAGAGATGGCAATATTTTAGTATTTGTGTTGCTTAATTCGAAGGATCATTTGCTGCATATCAAAATGTACACAAATTCGACATAACTCTGAACTGTGACAGTATTTATCTCTCTGCCTTTTTATAAAATCTAAAAACAAAAATCTCGTAAATTCTTGTTTTTTTATTTAAAAAATCATAAGCAGTTATTTATGAGTTTAGTGATAAACACAAACAAAAATGATAAATCTATTTATCATTGCTGTCTCTGATGTCAAATTGTATATAGTTTTATTGCCTGTTCTGAACCTAAAACTAAAAAATATATTTTACTCTATAATCCTATACCATTTCCACATGCAATTCATTATAGAATATCTTTAAGATCCTCCTTATGTGGTCAAATGAAGAGTTACAAAATAGAATATAAGAAGTATTTGGCATTTTACCTAATCGGTGATGGATCGCGCATGCGTGTTGGGAGGACAGGTTGGCACGCCTGTGTGGGCGGAGCTTAAACATGAAATTCCTTGAAATTCTGCAACAAAATTTTTAAAGAATTACAAGAATTTGTAGATAAGTACGCTGCAGACAAAGCCTAATATTTCCTATTATTAGAAGCCTGTGTTTGTAGATATCGAGAGTGTTCTAGAGGGTTCCAATATATATTTTTGTAAAGGAAAGTTCTGATATTGCATATCATTTTATCATCATATTTTGTTGTTTCTTCATCACTGCTTGTATTTCATAAGTAAAAAAGGATTTGGAGTGTCATCTTCTGAGATAAATCGCCTCATTATATATTGGGAAAGAAAAGCATATTTTATCACCATATTTTAAAATATTCCTTCCTTTGTTTTCACCTGAAAATTTATTTAGGTCTCGTCTTCTGTGAGATATATCGACCTCTACTATACTAGGATAAATTATAGTTATACTTAATCATGCCAGTAGGAAATGACGATGAATTTCTCGCTCAAAGTAGTGACGAAATTTCAGTGAAAGTTTCGTGACACATTTGCTTATCAGTGAATTAGTCAAAGTTTTTTTTTTTTATCAGTCGACTTATCACTTAATTATTCCTAAAAAAGGTTGCAAAACTTATTCAGGGTCAATCTCATAGGATTTTCACGGCTTTAATCTCTTCTGCCATGATTTTAACAAGTTAACCTTATCTTGGAAGTAATGTCCCATCATATTTAACCTGACTCTATAAAAGGACTGCTTTTTATTTTCTTGTCCTTTATTATTTATCATTTACGATATACTTACACATATCCTCGTCTATTCACTTACTTTTTACCATTCGCAGAACAAAGTTTTTGGTCCAGTGATCCTGATTTTCGAAGAGGACCAAAGTAAATTGAACGTTTTGGATACTATTAAACCACCGCTTAACGAGGTCTGTTTTGCCGTTAATTATTCTTGCTCTCTTTACATGTATGTCTTTTCTGCCTTATTCTCTACGTGTCTTTTGTCTCTTCCTTTATAAGTATGATTGTACTTTTTTCTTTTTTGTGTGTGTTTTTTATCTTTTTTTTTTCTTTCTTTCTTTCTCTCCTTTTCTCTTACTTTCAACCCTTCTATTTCTCTTTATTTTTTTTTTATCTATATGTCTCTTCTCATCTTCTGTCTGGAACTATTTCCTTTATCTCTCTCTCTCATTTTCTCTTCCCTTGTCTGTATATTTATGCGTGTTTTCCTTTCAGTGTCTCCTGTTCCTCCTCCCTCCTGTCTGTCTGTCTCTCGTCTGTCTGTCTGTCTGTCTATCTCTCTCCCCACCCTCTCTCTGTCTCTGTCTGTCTGTCTGTCTGTCTGTCTGTCTCTCTCTCTCTCTCTCTCTCTCTCTCTCTCTCTCTCCCCCTCTCTCCCTCTCTCCCTCCCTCCCCCTCTCTCCCTCTCCCCATCCCTTTCCACACCAGTTCCTCCAATACTGAATCATAGCGAGTTATCCGAACACACGACCGTCACCACGTCCGAACACACTCATTCTCGTCCGATTCCAGTCCAACAACTTCGAAGCCACGAAGGACTCCATGTTCTCCTACTTCGGGTACTCGCTGACGACTGCTGACGTGAACGGCGACGGCTTGGACGACCTGGTGGTGGGGGCGCCCCTGTACCACAACGACTCGCATCACGACCAGGGTGCTGTGTTCGTGTACATGCAGAAGAGGTTCGACTATGGAGGCGACGGGGTGGTGGGCGCGGAGGTGGGTGCAAAAGGGGTGTTTTATTTATTTATTTATTTATGTTTATTTATTATTATTATTATTATTTATTATTATTATTATTTTTTTTTGGGGGGGGCGGTTTGTGGGTCCTTTTTTTGGAAAGGGTGTTAGATTTATTTATTTATTTATGTTTTTTCATTATTATTTATTTATTTATTTATTATTTAGGTTTGTGGGTCCTTTTTTTTTGGGGGGGATTTGATTTTTTTTTTGTCTCTTGTTTGGTTTCTTTCGGTCCCTTGGTTTCGTTCTCTTTCGATTATCGGTTGTGTCCCCTTTCTCTGTTTTCTCTTTATTGATTTTTTATTATCATTATTATTTCTCTTTATTGATTTTTTATTATCATTATTATTTCTCTTTATTGATTTTTTATTATCATTATCATTTTTAATTGTATATCTGTCTACTTGCTTACGGTTATCTATTACTCCATCTCGATTCCTTTTTCTGTTCTTTACTCTTCTCCCTCCGCCACGGATGAAAACGAACAGACGAAACAAGAAAACGGATGAAAGGAAATAGATAAAACAAGTTCAAATGGATAAAAGGAAATAGATGTAACACGCCAAAGGGAACAAGAAAAACGAGTGAGAGAGACCAACAAACAGATGAAAGGGAGGGGATGAAACAAGTAAAAGAAATCAAGTGAAAAAAAAAAAAAAAAAAAAAAAAAAAAAAATAAAAAAAACAAGAAAGAGGAACTCGGAACACAAGAGATAAAACATATAAAACAAATCAAATAAAACGAGCGGAAGGGACCAAAGGCGAAACGGAACTAATCCTTAAACCACATTTATTATTATTATTATTATTTTTTTTTTTTTGTCTTTCAGATGAAACTTGAACCGAATTCTCCGTTACGAATGGGACACGATTCCTATGGTCGATTCGGCAGCTGCGTGGCTTCCGTTGGGGACCTTGGCGGCGATGGCTACCAAGGTACTTATTTTCTGTTCTATTCTGTTCTTTAATCTTACTCTTTTTTACATCTGTTGTTGGACACAGGCTTTCTACAGACTTTTTTTCACGTCGTTATGAACTCGCTGGTTTAACAGAAACTGCTTTAAATGTTGTTTGAGGAGTGCATAATGACGGGGTGAGATGGGTACTTATTTACCAGCTGATTTTCCTCCTGGGTACTTATTTACCAGCTGATTTTCCTCCTGGGTACTTATTTACCAGCTGATTTTCCTCCTGGGTACTTATTTACCAGCTGATTTTCCTCCTGGGTACTTATTTACCAGCTGATTTTCCTCCTGGTACTTATTTACCAGCTGATTTCCTCCTGACTTATTTACCAGCTGATTACTTATTACCAGCTGATTTCCTCCTGGGTACTTATTTACCAGCTGATTTTCCTCCTGGGTACTTATTTACCAGCTGATTTTCCTCCTGGGTACTTATTTACCAGCTGATTTTCCTCCTGGGTACTTATTTACCAGCTGATTTTCCTCCTGCCCGGCAGTTTGATTTCAAAATACAGTTTCTGCTTGTGACGAAGAGATAAAAGAAAGAGTAATGATGATGAGAATATTAATTCGGTGAGACTAAAGAATTTATGGAAAAAAATATTGTTTCGCAACTGCGTAAGGACTTATCTAAGGGGGAAGGTTAGATCAGTAGCAACTCGAGGTGTCATGATGTGTTTTGATGATTGTTCAATGAAAATATAACCATTAAAATCATTATATTCCATCCTTTTTGAAAACTGAAAAGACCAAAATGATCGACCATATTCACAAAACATCCGTGACTTTTGTGACGTCATCAAAATAAACCCCATGTTTTTTTTTTTTTTTTTTTTATTAAGAATAGAATCCGATGCTATGACACCGAGTTGCTACTGATCTAGCCTTCCCCTTTGTCAAAGGTCTCATCATTTGCTTGCTGGACAAGT